ATATATATAACTATATAACTAGTTCAAGTGCCCTACCCCACTAAGCCTCACAGAAATAAATTTATGCACACATGCATTATATACATACACGTTTGTATGTACAGAAGGAGAGAAGGAGAGAAAGAGAGAGAGAGAGAAAAACTGGGGAGCGGACTGCTTTAGGCGGCAATGTCGATTACGGTAGCAGACCATAAATAAATATATATGCCGCTTGCTGCTGGGTCGGCGTCAACGTGGACAACGCATGTTGACTGAGAGTACGACGGCAGCCGCGACTGCGACTGCGACGGCAACAAACGAAGGCACATCAACGTTAGGCAAAAGCAATTGCTTGTAGTCAATTGGTGCGCATACGCCGCCCAAAATGTAAGTAAGTGTGTGAGTGTGTGTGTATAAATGCTGGGAGGCAGCAGTAGTAAAGAGAGCCAGACACTAATAGCGAAATGCCGAACAATTGAAAATGCCAAAACACAAATACAAATGCCAAATCAGTATTGGGAAATGGTTGCGGCTAAAAATTCAATCGCGAGAATATTTCAAATGACGCAAAGAATATAAAATAAAGCCAATAAGCTAAACTCCAATATAGGTAAATAAAAAGGACCCTTAACTTTGCTATTTATTCAATATAACCTCACACACACGTAGCAACAATAGAACGACCAGATGTATGTTTGTATGTAGATAGTTCTGGACGTTCGTAAGTATATGCAGACATATCATATACACATGCTTGTGTGCATGAGCCCACATAAATTGTACTTATAAAATTTCATAAATGGAGCTTATCACAGCTCAACATGCCCTCGTTGCCCCTCCTTCCGCGCGCTGACGAAGCAAGAAAAGTCACAAAGACAGAGCGCGCACACACACACTGAGACTCACGCACACATTAAAATTGCAACGGAAGACGCGCAGCGACAAGGAGAGCGTCGCAGTCGACGCAACGATAAGTATTCGAGGGCTGCGTCTCCACACAGAGTGCCTAATACTAATGTAATTATTTAATATGTTTTTAATTTATATATACAACGCACACTATATTTATGTATGTATACTATCTTGTCCATATTTATAAACACATTACACGGCACTTACCTTTGGCAAATGTTACGATTCGGCTGGTGCTGTCGCGGCGTGCTGAGCTAGCAACTCTGCAGCATACCTATGGCGGCGTCGGAGTCAGCGTTAGCGTCGACGTCGACGTCTGCTGCGACTGCTTGCTGTCACTTCAGCTCATGCGCGTTGCATTTAGCTGATGCATTTTGTCCACTTTTCACCACCAGATAAAGATTTTGTAGAAAATATCGCCTATTTAACTTTTTGTTTATTGTTTTAGATTGTAGAGCTCATTTTTCCGTGTGCAGTATGTATGTGTGTTGGGTTCTCCTTGTTCGCTGCTCTGCTACGCGTTCACCTTTTTTTTTCTTTTGCAAGCGTCACAAAACTGTTCTTATTCACTCGCACGAATAGCCAATTCGCTTCATTGATTTTAAACGCACACATACAACCCCGGTGTAGGTGTGAAGACCGCAGCGGATTCGATTGGGTCGCAAACGTCGTTTAGCCGAAACAGTCAATGCTTTAATTTAACATTTGGTTTGACACAACTACAAATGCACTCAATACGTTGGATATTCTCAAATTTTCGGATATTAATATTACCAGGGAAAGCCATGTTCGCGGTGTTCAAGTCACATTTATACTGTGCGGTGCTCGAATGGCGCATGAAATAAAATACAAACAGGGTTGTCACTGATCATTTCATAGTCTCGATTAGCGTGTAATATGATAACAAATTTAACCACAAATCTATCAAAATCATACCATGATTAATGCAACGTTATAATGTATTTAATAAAGTACGTAACATTAGGTCATTCATAATTTTTTACAATAGAACCAATGAACGTATGTATTTACGTTGAGTGGTAACACTGCTCAAACTTAGAGATGGAATTCTTTAACTGTGATTTGGTAAACATGAACTAGTTTAATGAGTTGATAATATTAGAACTATAATACTTTTAGAACAACAAAAAATAATTACTTTAGAATTGCATTTAATATAAATTACCGAATTAAATAAAGAATAATAACAAAAAGAGCAAATTAGGTTGAATAATCTTGGAGAAAGTTTATTGTTTCTCGTACTCAGAAAACGAGTGTATGTGGTATCGACCACATTTTTATATCGATAGCCATGCACGTCTTTGCTCAAGTGGTATCGATACTCCGCCATCCCAATTGTGTGCGTCTATTTCTGCTGCAGCATTTTCAATATTCGTTTTCGACTGGGAAACTGTGCACAATATCAAATAAAAGTATAAAAAAGTGTTGCACAATGAACACTCTCGGTCCTAAAAAGGACGGAAGTCCCAACGTTGAGTTTTTTCAATCACCTGAGACGCTGCAAGGTTTTGAGTCTATACGGCTATGGCTACAAAAGAATTGTAAAAAGGTGAGTACAACGCCAGCGCCGCCACCGTGAGTGAAAACAAAAATGGCGCTTCAAGCAAATTAAAAACACTGTAACTTACGTGCATCTGTATTGCAGTACTTGGCGCATAGCTCGGAGCCAATAACAAAGGAATCACTTGCACAGTTGCTAATACTATTCTTGCAATATGTGGAAGCAAAATTGGGGAAAAACTCGGCAGAACCGCCGGCGACGAGAATCCCGGTAAGTGTATTGGGGGAACAGGGTGTTTTGGGTGTGCAAAATGTTTTGTATGTACACGCGCGATAGAGATGCGCACTTGTAATATTTTTGAGAGAGGGCCGAATGTTGATTTATTTATGCACGACCCTAAATAAATTGTATTTGAAAGCCAAATTTAATATATGATTAACAATTTTTTTTTTTT